TGTCAAGTAGTGTCCGTGCCCCATGCTAAATGAGGTTAATAGAGTGAGCTATAAGTGCCCGATACTTAGCTTTTGATGTCAGTAGGGTGTTCAATATAGTGGCCTATCCAGTTCACGTCTTTGTTCAAACCTTGATAAAAAGTGTCAGTTTGCAAATGAAGGCAAATTCCGCAGCTTCTCTCCATCTGGTTTTTGAAATTACTTTGTAATTCTGAAATCACTTTTAGATTAATAAATGAGTACCCGGGCAAGTTGAAACGTTCCTCAATGGGTGTCGATGTGTTACCATTTCAAATATCTGATTTGTGTCTATTAATCCTTTGCCATAGAGACTGTCCAATTTGACCACAAGACACAAAGGGGACTGTACATTGTTTACGTTTTTTCAAAATTAAGTTATTAGTAATTAAGATATCAACTTTGGACTACAACAAAGTAGGCTAACATCTACTTTTTGCAGTTCACCAAGCTTGGACAAGATGATTTATCTTTACGAAACATTCTAACAGAACTTTGTGAATCACCTGTTTATCACTCTGTTTGTAAACAAAATTCTGACTCCCTGCCTCAGGGGCACAAACTGGGAGCAGCACTTTCTCCTGTCTCATCTGAGAACTTAATGCACAGGGTGCCTGACCCTAAGGCTTGCAGGTTTTTTGGAGCCCAATTCCGCTTATGTACATCTACTTAGAGAAGAAACAAACCACTACAATGAGTCTGAACCTACCTGTTAATTAACTGCCTCTAGTTTGCAGTATGGGGCTAACAGCAGTGTAGTGTAACTGGGCTCTGAAACCTGAAGGGGTGGGAGGGTCTCGGAACCTGGTCTCAACCCATGCCTAGATATCTACTCTGCTATTTGTAGTCCTGCTGTGGTGTTTGTGTAGTTTTTATTAGGGCTGTCAGTTGACCTGCGTTAATGATTGCGATTAACGCAGGACGGGATTAACGCGTTAATTGCAGGTGTTAATGCTGCATTGCCCCTTTGATGCACTGGAGCGGCACTTCAAAGGGGCAGCACAAGTGGAGCTGGGGATCAGCCTGAGTCCCCAACTGACCCCAGGCTCCTAATGTGCTGCCCCTTGGAAATGCTGCGGCGCTCCCAAGGGGCAGTATTGCATGGAGCCTGGGGTCAGCTGGGGACTCCAGCTAATCCCAGGTTCCATACAGCACTGCCCTGTTGGTTGAAACGCCGCTGCAGTGTTTCAAAGGGGAGGCATACGTGATTAATTGTGATTACATTTTTTAATTGCTTGACAGCCCTAGTTTTTATTTGTTGTAGTTTGGGCCAGTGGGAGATGTTGATTTCCATTTTTAAGTAAACTTAATGAAAGGATCAAATTAGTTATTGTGTGATATATAATTAAACTTGTTTTCTGTGGTGCCTGCCATGCCTAAGCATAGACTGAATAGGGAATAAAAAACCTTGTCTCTCCAGGTTTAATTTACATTGTTGGGGGCATCAGCAATGAAGGAGTAGAGCTACGTTCTGTTGAAGTCTATGATCCAATATCCAAACGTTGGGCTGAGCTTCCTCCAATGGACACCCGAAGGGCATACGTTGGCGTAGCTGCCCTCAATGATTGTATCTATTCTCTTGGAGGAATGAACGAGAGTCAAGATGCACTTCGTACTGTAGAGAGATATTCCTTTGAAGAGGTACAGTAGATTGCCTAGGAATCTTTTAGAAATGCAGACTGCCGCTTTATTTATTAAGCTTTGTAAAGAAGCTAATAAATGCTGCGTATTTTCATAGTGAGAGATTGTGTTGGCAAGTTGGCCATTATATACCTGGTGAGAACGTAACTCATGTTGATGAGAGAAACATTTTAAAATAAGCTCCATTTTCCTATTTTCTCCCAGTCAATAATCTGGAAACTACACGTCAGGGACATTCGAGGTAGTGTCCGTAGTTCATATACTTGCTGAGTTTTTGAGTATATCTAATCTTAATCATATAGTGTTTGAAAAGCATGTGTGCACACTTTTGGATAACCCAAAGTTAACCAACACACTGACCTAACAGTAGGTGAAAAGATCATAGCTACTAAATATCCTGGAGATTGTGAAAGAGCAATTTGTCTATAGGTTGTCTCATACATTACTCCAGAGTCCAGACACTAGACAAATTTCTTGGTTACCATAAGCCCAGCTCTGAAGTAGGGATGTCAACGTGTAGTCAACTACACGATTAACCAATAAGTCCTGGCCTATTGGTTAATCCTGTTGACTACATGCATCAGCAGCAAGGTGGAGTGGAGTGGGAGCTGGTGCCTGAGAGCTTTAAGCAGGCTCCCCATGAGAACCAGATCTGCCTCACCCTGCCCCCGCATTGCTGCCTCTGCTGAACATAGGGAGCCAGGTTTCAAGCAGGCTTCCCGCATGTGCCAGATCTGCAGACCCACCCTGTTGCCCACTCCTACAAGAGGCAGCAAGGGTGGGTTAGGTAGGAGTCTGTGCTGGGGGGGAGCCAGCTTAAAAGCCAGTATTATCCCCCCCTCCCCCCCCCAGCTTCATGGTGCAAAGAGGCAGCAACACTGGGGGTAGGGGGGCAGGAGAGGCTGCCGTAGCCCAGGCTCCCTGTGGACAAAGGCTGATGTGTGGCATCAGCCGCTGTACATGGGGAGAGGGGTCCGAACTTCCCACAGGCAGAGGTTGTTGCCAGAGACCAGTCTCTGTCTGCGGGGAGCTTGGACCCCCGCAGACAAGGGCTGATGGCACTCCACACTGCTGCTTCTTTATCAGAGGCTGCAGGCAGCTGGTCTGCGCAGCAAGCTGGTTTTTAAACTGGCTCCCCTGATGGACCTGTTCCTGTCTGCCACCTCATGCTGCTGCCTCTGTATCAGAGACAGCAGCACGGGATAGCTGGGGGCTCCCCGCGAGGGGGGCTGGAAGCGCACTGGTTGCTGGCCCCACCCTCGGGGACAATCGAATTGTTGTGTAACCACTAAGATTTCATGTGGTTACACAACTATTCAATTACACGATATCTAATATCCCTACTCTGAAGTGCTGCTGTTGGTGCTTTTCCCTCCATATCAATACCAAACCAGTATCCCAAAATGGGGCTGGAAATCACTGTGCTGTTGGTAGGTATTGACGTAAGTGCTTCCTACTGTGGTTCTGTAGATTCTATGGTACTTTTCATAGGAGTAGTATTGACAGTCCTGGGGGCAGGGAGGATATTAAATTTTGCCGCCTCGCACAGTCCCTTTGTAATGGCGATGGAGTTTTCTTTGCTTCTTGTTTCAAATTTTTTACTGTTCTGTGCAGTACTAAATAGGGATGTAAAATCCAGGTTCATCAGTTAACCAGTTAAACCTTAGTTTAACCAGTTAACTGAATAAACAGGATCCTGCTCCTAATCTCTTCCTCCCCCAGTCTCTTGCACTGGGAGAGTGAAGGGGGGCAGGAGCCAGGCCAGGCCAATGCGTGGAGCTGCCAGCTTCTGCACCCCCCCATCACCCGCAAGGCTGGAGCAGCCATCTGCCCATGGTAGGCCACAGGTGGGAAGCTGCTCCCAGGTACTTACCAGGTACTGGTTAACTGGTATCCCCAGTAAGGGTTACCCATTCACATCCTAGTGCTGAGCAGGTGTTATGCTCAACCCCAGAGGTGTATGTACATGGACATACAAGAATAACCAAAGGTTTGCAGAATCAAGCCCATCTCTTCAGGTGCTTTCGGATGTTTCAGGGTGGACAGTACCACATACATGTACAGTACTGCTTAGCATATTTGAATCTGCTTATGGTAGGTAGCTTAGTGGTAGTGTGGGGTACTTTAGACATTTCAGTAAGTTAGAGTAATTCTCATGGGACGTGGTTGGGGAGTAGTGCCAGTGCCTAGGGGGCTTAATTGCAGCAAATCTATTTGCTGATATTTTTTTCTCCCCTCATCAGGAGAAATGGGTTGAAGTTGCATCGATGAAGGTACCCAGATGTGGTGTGTGTGTTGTGGCTGTGAATGGACTTCTTTACGCTTCAGGAGGCCGAGCTTCTAGCCATGATTTCGCTGCCCCAGGGACGTTGGATTCTGTCGAAGTGTATAACCCTCATACGGACACATGGACTGAAATAGCAAACATGATCACCAGCCGCTGCGAAGGAGGCGTGGCTGTGTTGTAGAAGAGGTCTTCAAAGAACTCAAGGAAGACAGACAGTGGGAAGGATGAGCATCTGGCTTTCCACAGACAATGAGGTTTTATGCGTCTCTGGCCAGGATCCTCTTTCGCTCTGTGGCTGTTGTGTGGAGTTGGTAGAGGAGCAGATCTCAGGTACGTCTGTAGAGCTTTTCCTGAGCAAAAAGGAACTTCCCCTAAGATGACAACTGGCCAATCTAAAGTTTGTTACTTCAGGTACCATTTGTTGAGAGCAGAAATGTGATTAGATTAAGCTAATTGAATGTGAAACAACTGGGGACTCTTGGGTAAATTAGACCTTAACTGAGGTCTGATCTTTTCTGAAAGTGCTGGAATGACATTAGTGAGGTACATAAAATTCCTCCCTGTTCCTATGAATTGATACATATGAACATGAATGCTAGTATCATTAGTAGGACTTAAACTTAGCAGGTGGCTCCTTTACACGGCTAGGGCTTTATCTGAAGTGAAGAGTATCTTGGCTTTTGCCTTAGCACTAGGAGTTGCCTTTTGCTGGCAGAGACTATGCCAGGTGAGTATGGTTTCTAACAAACAAAGATTTATACTTCTACTTGTAGCCTCATCTCACTTGAGGTTCTCTTCAGCTGCAGAACATGCACCCTAGAAATTAAATGGAGGTGAATTGTCCTTTATCCCCCAATAGATTTTCTTGATAAAGGACCTGTTAATAAGTGGCTGGCAGTCTTACTCCACCACTACTTTTCCTGTAAAGCTCAACGCAGTTTTGTTGTTTGTGCTAGAATAACACTGGAATGCTGTTACCTCGTGGGTGGCAGACACTATCTACCCAAGTATGGACTTTCCCTTCCCCATTCCGTGGAGTGCCGCCTTTGTGCTGTCCATAGAATTTCACTGAGCTCTTCCTCCTGCCTTCCCTCTCCCTTTACTGGAAGGGATTACCCTGTGCACATGTGTGCACGTGTATGCACACATGGGGACTGTCAGGTAGTAGGATAGACATCCTTCTGCAAGATGCTGCTGCTCGTTCCCACTTACAAAGATGACACTTCTGGCTTGCAACCTTCCTTTTTTCCAGGTTGAAACAGACAGAAATGAACAGAAATTGGCTTTGTTCGGTTTGAGTGATGCTACTATTGTTTGTTCATTTTGCTATTGTCTTAAAGGTCCTATTTAGCGTGAGAGCACTTATTGGGGAAAAAAAAATATATTATTTTTTTAAAGCAATTGACACACCATTTCCAGGTTTTTAATCTTACTGTCTTAAACAAAAAACAGATTTGGTACTTGTAGCTTCTGTTTGCACCTTGGCTGGTTTTGGATGAATCATCTGGGATTCAAGTCATAAATGAAATTGTGCTGTGTTGGACAATCTTCTGGAATACAAAACACCATTAGAAGAATAATACAATGGGAAGTCTTCATTATGTAGACCTGCTTTCCAGATCAAGGATGTTACCTGCACAGTATGAAGTTGTTTATAAAAATAAAAAGCATCTAGTCTGTGTAGTAGCTACCTGAAAACTGAATTAACATATTAAAGGGAAAAAACGTTATCCACGCTTGCTTAAGTTTGCTATATAACAAAGTACTTGCTTCTCTGATAACTTTAAAGCCTGTATTCAAGATGGACTTCTAATGGTTGTGAAGCTAGCCCGTTTCTCTACCTTTTGCGTGAGCCAAGTGAGTTTGCTCTTTAAATTGCTGTGTATATCTTGTAACTAGCTGCAGGTCATGAGTATGTACCTCAGTGGTGGAATGCTGTGTTTTTACAGAATGCTTTTTTTACTAATGAGGGTGAGTGGCATTGCTGTTACCTATAACAAAAATTGAGATATTCTTGTTGAAATTTTGTGTTTAAATTCTGAAGAACATTGAATCAGCTTTATAAGAGAAAAAACATTGACAGATTGTTTTTAGAAACAAAAATGTGCTTCTAAAATAAAATATTTATTGTATTTCCTTACTACTGATGAGATCCTTTGACTACAGGATCTTTGGGAAATGGGGGCTAATTGGATAGCTACCCTGTACTGCATACTGCCTTTTGACTGGAAAGAGCTGAAGTGGGAGATGTTTTACAGTCAAACATCTGCAGATTCCCATGCTGCTTGCATTTGGTTCCCATAAGATTTCAGCTTACTTTATTATGTCTGCCGTTAGCTATTTATCTCTTGCAGTCTGGAGTCAGGGAGGCCTTTTTGTTGTACCATGAGGTAGTTTCTTTTGACCAATGCTCAGGACTTTCAGCTGTTGGCTGACAGTTGTGGGTTTGTAGTCTGCCATCACCACATACCTAGTCTCCCGTGTGAGAGGAGGGACAGCTTCTACAACTGGCTTCATACTAGCCTGTGCTGCTGTCAGTTTCTTGTTTATATGTTTATAAAGCAGCCATGTTGGTTAAGAGGGAGTGACACAATGAACTTTGCTTTTCTTTAAATTGAAAACTCAATTTTATTTCCTCTACACCAAAACAAAGTAGAAGTGAAGCCTTTCATACTCTGTTACATCCAGTGTTTGTCTCTGTCCTCGAGCAATGCTGTTGCTGCTATATCCACTACTTCTGCAGCTTCTGCTGAACAGGGCTTTCCGCTCCCTTGTAGCACTCACGGGAGGAGGGCTGGAAAGCAGCATATCCAGTTTGGGGTTGGCCACCCTGGTAGTAACTACTCTCATTCACTGCCTAACCAAACCCTGCTCCTTAGCTTTACTAGAGCTGGTTTCAATCCAAAAAAGTGACATGACAGGGTCCCATGTTGGAAGTGAACACATTAGTCAATAACGGATAGGGCAGCACGTTCAGCCGCGTTCAGGAAAAACCCTTATCAATTCCTGTTTTCAGGAATTAAGGATGCAGTCCCCTGATTACAACAACACCTGTGTTCACACAGAGCACCCCGTGAACACAGTTTACAACTACAGCCACTCTGAATGTGTGCCGATGGAGAAGAGGATGCTGGTAGGACTCCTATGGCACAATCACAGATCGGCATTAAGGAATGACATTGGACTTAGCATCACCTTCCTCAGTTTTCATCAGGCTAAAGTAAAGCCTTGCTGCTTAGCTGTAAATACCCATTTGCTGCATACTTTTCACGTTCAAGGATTTATATCTGTTTTAGGTGGATTTCTACTGAAGGAACATTGGCTTAGGCCACAACTGAAAATCCTCTAAGTTTATATTACACATCCATCATCCACTTAATCTTCTGCCTTAGCTGAGTGGAGTTTAAAGGGAGGGTTGTGAAAAAACTATTGTGGAGAAGTGTGTGCTTCACTTCTCTAGCATATTTGATATTCAACCTACTGTGAAGTATCTACACTTTACAAATGTTATTGAATGGCCAACAAAAAGCAGACTTAGCCCATACAGGTGGAGTTGCTCAACCCCTTCTAGGGAACTGCACCTAGATTTCTGTGCAAAATAACTGCTTGAGTTACTTACTGAGAGCCAGGGAGCAATGCCTGCTGGCATCAGGCACACTATTCCAGTGTTTCTGAACCTTTTTTTAATAAAGTACCCCCTTAAAAAAAAAAAAGTACCCCCAGTTCCTACAGTTTTCGGATGCACAATTTTTTTTTCTACCATTGCAACACATTTGTTTCAACAACTTAATCACAGCCGGGCAGGCGATAAAATTTTGGGGTGTAAAAAGTACAACAATAATAAAACACTGTAAACTTAAAACAAAAATTCAGTTTTCTTCAAGTTTCAGTTGTGTTGACGTACCCCCCAGACTTCTCTCAAGTACCCCTAAGGGTACTCGGACCACTGGTTTGAGAAACACTGCACTATTCCATAACTCATAGCTACTGTGACACATTCTGTATCTAAAACGTGTCAGGCAAGGTGGTATATGCAAACTGGTCATTATTGTGTGATGTGTGTGTGGTCAGTGTATCAAGAATCAGAGTTGTGTGTTGAACATGTGTTCTTAAACATTGTTTTGCAAGCAGTGCATTAAGCCTAGCCTGTCCTAGACAGAGGAATGTTGTTTCACCTGTTTTTCTGTCTCCAGTTAAATTAAGCAAGATAATACCTTGAAAGAACAAAGAAAAGTGCATCTACATATAAACACAGCCATCAACCTAAATGATCATGGGGGAAGATGACCACTTAGTGATCACAATAAAGGATGAAGTCTACATGCTCTGGAAGCCTTCCTGGCTCTTGAAAAGGACAACAGATTTTGTGAAAGCAGAGAGCCATTTTGCTATCCAAAACCAGGGGAAACAAAGGAGTTGTGCCCTTTCCCTGCATGGAGAATGGATCTTCTGGGCTGAAAACATAGTCAGTTTAGCTCCTCTAAGTGAGAAATCTGAAAGCTGTGTCTAGACAGGCAAGTTTTTCCGCTTTTGCAGAAAAACTTGCCAGCTGTCTACACTGGCTGCTTGAATTTGCACAAGAACACTGACGATCTAATGTAAGATTGTCAGTGTTCTTCCACAGATACTATGCTGCTCCCGTTCGGGGAAAAAGCCCTCTTGCGCGGGGCCAGTGTAGACAGCTAAAAACTGTTTTGCACAAAAAAGCCCTGATGGTGAAAATGGCGATCGGGGCTTTCTTGCGCAAAACCGCGTCTAGATTGGCACGGATGCTCTTCCGCAAAAAGTGCTTTTGTACAAAAGCGTCCATGCCAATCTAGATGCTCTTTTCTGCAAATGCTTTTAGCGGAAAAACTTTTCTGTTAAAAGCATTTGTGCAAAATCATGCCAGTCTAGACGTAGCCTAAGTGTGTAACTCTGGGATAGACAATAAGCAGCCAGTGGGTTGGATGTGGTTCCCCCGCTTCCCCCAGCTCCCGTTGGCTGGAAAGGTGAACTGCAGCCAATGGAAGCTGTGTGTGGCCCTACCTGCACTTGCTCAAGTAAATAAAGTCTCTGGCAACCTGCCAAAGACTAACTAGCAAACTGCATCCTGCCTGCAGGCTACTTATTTCCTACTCCTGGTGTAATGCATTGAAATTGAGTCTAAGCCACTAGAAAGTCTGGGTTTTTTTTAATTTTAAGCATGCCTTTTCTATGCTTTCTTTTCTCTGTTCTTTATTAATTGAGGATCAGTTCTTAAATCATTTACCATCGTTCATGTATATTTTTCCACAGTAGAATTTGGGTCAAGGAAGACTCTTGTCCAATGGTGATGTGGGAGTGATATTTACAAGCAGTACTATCAAAGAAAAGCAGCTGTATATGTAACAGCCTTTGACATGATTTCTCCAGTTATCTACACATGCAAGTATAGTGCAA